CTTGCTATATAATGTTTGTTTGTTTCTGACACCCGGGTAGAGGGCCGCGTTGTAAGCCGGTAGGGCCGGGCGTTGTTATTATTCCCCGCCATTTTGTTCTAGGGAAAGAAACAGGATGCCGACCGCCGCCACACCCGAGAAATCAGCTCTTTTGGGGTAAGTTTCGTCGAATAACAATACAAAGACAACACCTGTAGAAGCTATATACGCATTTTATTTATACATTTCGTGGTAGATGTACAATGGAAAAGAAAGTCGTAGGTAGATAATCGAACCAAGCTGTTGTATACGCCTTGTAATAATACATATCGACATCCGTTCCATAGGGATTTTTGTTGTTGAGAGTAGTTGTAAAGAGAGAATTGGCATTGACCCCGATATCAATAAAGCCGAATGATCGTCAAGATAATTGGCAGGTATATTATTAAGAGTGGCAACGTTATTATTTCTTTTCAAAAGTACAAAAGACAAGTCAAGGTTTGCTTCCGATAAACCGTTAATATCAAACGTGCACACATTTCTGATATAAAAATCTGGAACGAATCGTTTCGACGTGGTGTCATATTTTATACGTGTATTTTCTGTTTTCCTTTTTTTCCTTTTTTTTTTTTTTTTTTTTCCATTCGAAGTTATCGCAATTCCCAGAAGTTCTAACGCAAGAGCGAATCGATAGGATGCATTAACTCGGTGAAAATGAAATTGTAATGGCGAGGGTATTGCGTGCGACCTATTTCTCCCAACGGTTTATACGAATGATCGTTTCCGCCGTTCGCCGTGGAAAATATATTTTTCGATTACGCGAAAGGACGAAGTTTAAAAGTTTTATCTGGAAATTATCATCGTTCCCCGCGAAACGAGAGGTTATTCCCTCGATTTTCCGCAAGGGGAATGGGATTCTTGTAGTTCGATTATTTCGAACGAACTCGAACGAACCCTTCGCTCCATTCTTTGTCGGAACGAAAGTTCTTGGAAAGTTTCACGCTTGTCGCCATCGCGTCTCCATTTTAAATGTAAATTTCAAGCATAATTTGAATTCTCAAATGTTATTATCTCGACTTTCAAGGACTTCCTTTCTTCAGCGGGGAAGATCTTTTTTTAATTCGAGAAAACCTTCCTTCGGATCAACGATTAACATCTGCCTAGGAATTAACAATTACGCGCGAATTAAACTCTCGTTTATTCGTCCATTTCTTTTTCAACGAGATGAAAGGAATGGTTGGACACGGTAGGAGGAATGGATACGAGCCACGAAGTTGAACGCAGTTTCCAACAAGACGGGGGATTTTAATGAAATTTGCGTTATGTAACCGTCTCGAATACGTTTCACTCGCGTGTGCACGACGAGCCAATTCGAGCCGACCAACAAGCAAAGAGCGGCTTTGACGCGCGACATTAAATTTCTAATTTCGTGGACACGTCGTATTGTTCCCACGTAATTAAAACTCGAGAATTACACTTCTATCTGATTGCTCGGTTGATTCGAACGAGTCCACGTCGTAAATAACTCCTTCGTCAAACACGTCGCAATTGTAACACGTTTCGCAATTTACCGATCGACGTATTGTGTTGTATCGTAATTAACTTCATTTCCACACGAATTCTCTGTCTCCACTCTTATTTATATACGCGTGGCCAACTCGTTCGTTACCGTGACTAATTTCGAAACCTATCCATCTATCCGTTTAAATTCAACCATGCCAATTGTGAATGGTTTTCCCTTTCGAATGTAATAAATTCTCTATCTCGAGAAACATTATCGACGATTTTAAAACGTGTGAATCACCGTGTATTTTTGCTCTTGTACCGAAATTGGATAATCAGACAGACTGGCGCCCTACTTGCAATCGGAACCGCTTCTGTACTTCTTCCTAATCGATCTTCGTTGCAGAGCAATTAACGGTGAAATTAGGATTAATTACGGTCCATTAAAGCAGAAAACAACGAGTCAATTGTTCAACAACATTGATTTTCTCGGTTTAAAAATATTTACTCGAAATAGAATACGCGTTTCCGTGTTGCACGGAGAGAATAAAGAAGTTGAGGATTATCGATCTACGTGGTATTTGTGTCACAAGCTTGTGATAGTTGACAGTGCTACGTATAACTTAAAAAATAATGGATAGGTGAAGTTGAGTTTCACGTTTCATTTTTTCTTTTTTTATTTTTTAAATCTTTTTCTTACAATGAAGTTTACGCGTGGAAAATTCAAAATGGGCTCTCGAAATAAATATAGAAAATATATCGTATCAAGAATGTTTCTTTGGAGTCAAGACGTAGAAAATACTTTGAATCTTTCATGGCTGATAGATAATTGCATTACGTTTTAATTATTGATTATTAATCTTCAAAAAGTTTTGTTTTTAATTTAAAAGGAAAAGATTATTTTTCTTTTTTTCGTATATATCAACGAAATAATCTAATTACTTTTCATTGATTCCTATTCATTTTTTTTGTGTTACAGTTATATAAGTTGTACGTGATGATGAATGGTGTTAACGGGACATTAAAATGTAAGAAATTCCTTATGACGCCGGGAATTCATACGTCATTTTGCTCTACTTTCGCTGAAAAATTCGTTTTCGTGCCACTTGGCAACATGCCGGATTCACCTGAATTGCAGGATCCTCGGGATTTAGCTCAATTTCCAACTCGATAGAGACAATGGGCCAATTTCCCTCTCTCTTTTTCCAGTTTCAAACAGTTTAGGGGAGTATCGTGTCAGAAACGTTGATCGAAACATTGGAAAATCTGAAATTTTCAAGACAACGTTCTTACGTAATCTTTAATATCCATTCACGTTTTCTTCTTTCGTATATTAGGAATATCATGAAAGTCATTTTTATGTGCACGCACATATAATATGCTGAAAAATATAATTTATTCGAATATAAACTGACTTATTGCGATATTTATATATTAATTTCCGGTTCCATAAAAGTTTATATTTATATAAAAATTCTACTAATAACGTATAAAAAAAAAATCTTCATACGTCATTATCCATTTTTAGGAATAATATTTTAATAATGACGCAATGGAAGAGTGGACGTAAATTTAACTCTAATTAACAACTTCAACGAAATATTCTCATTATATAGAGACACCCACGCTCTACTATATCCCGATCATAATTATAACTAATTAACGAGAACAGAAGACAAAATTCGTGTCAACTGTCGTGCAACCCGGCGTCCTTTATAAACTGTCAAATTTCAATAGCAGATGTACTCATGTTTCATAATTGCTAGCAATGAGTGTAGACAAATGGCCACGAAATATACAAGGTAAATTAGAACAAAAACCCGACAACAACTCGTCCAGGATCAGAGGCGAACGAAAGGTAACGAATTGTTGTGCAATTGCAGTTAATGCATGGAATGAATAGAATATTTCGATTCTTTATACCTTCTATTATATTATATTACCTTTTTTAGGATGCATTTTTTCCTTGATATTGGGCATCGAGCTGTCTTTTTTTCCATCCTTAAAACACGATTTGAATTTATTTTTCGTTAGATAGAATCGCTTTGGCAAATGATCTGCATAGATCTCTTGGTCAGACTTGATTGTTTTTGTTAAAATGATATTATTAGAAATGTTGTCATGTTACTTCATGTCGTAAACATTTCCATATTTTATAATGTGATATACATACTACTTTATTTGAAATATTTCTAGATTCTAGATATTATACGAAAAATACGAATGCAATTAGAGAACGAACCTGCATATAAATTTGCTTCATAAAAATTATCAAAAACGACAAAATTATTTACTTGATATCGCTATTTAAAAATCCATATTTTCTATATTATTCGAAAATTGCTCTTTTCTTATCTCGATCTTGAATAAAATTCGGCCAGATCTAATTTCTGCGTCGCTAATAATCACTCGAGCTCGCTTTTGTTTTCAAAAAGGAAAGCCTGATTCCGTAAGCCGTAAGGGAAAGATGTAAATCGATCTAATCCCGACAGCCTCGTCTTACACGCATCTCTCTGCTCCAACGGTGAACAGGTTACTTGCTAATAAAAAAAAAAAAAAAAAATCTCGTGTGCAGCTCGGTTAATCGATCGGTAAAAAGGATATGAACGAGATATCGAATGACGTGGATATCGAATGTTCCTTCGACGGTGGTTAGCCTGGCTCCTAGCGACAATCGATCGAATGGGTTTCTTGGGAATCCAACATTTTCTTTTTCTTTGCCAAGTGTAATATGTACCACCTCGTCAGGTACCATATATATATATATATACCTGTTCCTACCCACAGCAATTTTATTTCGTATCTCGGCTTTTGCTTCTGTAAATTTATGTCGTATCAACTTTATCGTATCGCTTCAACGTTGAATTATTTATTGAACGTTTAATCTTCGTATCTATTTAGTATATTTCTTCGTATTATTATCTATATTCATAGGCGTGAAGGTTCATCATAGTTTAATAGAAGAGGAGAGAATGATCAATGTGATCGAATCACTTTGTGTTTACGTTGTAAAACGTGAGAAAAAAATTTAGAAGAACTTAATTTTTTTCTTTTGCGTGGTCGATCAAATATGATTTTGAATATGAATTGATTTATGCAAATTAATATCGTTACACGCAAAATATTATTTTGTAATATTATATTTTTATGTATATATATATATATATATATATATATATACACGAAGGTATAAATATTTGTTTACGATGTATTTTATTAAAATTGTAATATTTGTATAATATTTCAATCAACGACTTGTTAAATTCATCTCATTTTTCATAAATTTCCTGATAAATTTATAAAACGTGGGAGTGCAAGCATAATACTATAATACGTTAATATTATTTATATATACGGCAACTTTGTACACATTGTGGCAGATATTCAACCGTAATAAAGTACAATCATAATTACGCTCACGTTTTAACGAAATCTATAACGTTATCTAGATTTAAACACTTCAATTTCAAGCATTCGTTGCCTGTTTATCTTGCTCCATATTTAAATCTTCAGATTTTAAATTTCGAATTATCTTTGAAAAATCCAGTCTAGAATCCGCGATTAATTTGCAACAGTTTCAAACGGGGGTTTGCAGCCCGGCTTAAAACTCTCTGACTTCTCATGAATGCGAATATCTCGAAAATTGTGCCGTTTTTCTGCCCGTCGACTCGTTG